ATAAAAATATTTGAAGGGGCTCATTATACCATCTCTCAAGCAGATGGCTTGTCATTCAGAGGTTGCCATTCTCTTAAAAGGCAAAATCAATAGCAGAAATTATAAGTATCTCCTGCTGAGTGACTCATACTGTGCTAGGGTGATGAGAGGTAAGGGGCAGCTACATTAGCATGTTTCCTTGGATTATCATGAGTAAAAACATTTGGACAGCAGAGAGTAGGGGGAAGTGATTAGCAATTCAAGGCCTAAAAGTTATTTTCTTTCTATTTTTTTCCTCCTTCTTTTCTTTCAAGTTGATGAGGACATTTCCCTTTGCATGGTGTAGCTAATGGGTGAGCTGATTCTTGCTGATATTCATAGAATAGGTTAATCTCAGGATTAGGTTAAAAAAAAAAAAGCAACAAGCACATGCTCCTTGAATATTTCCTACTGAAATAACCACTGTTCAAATCACAGAATGTCTGCTGTAAGTCTTTAAAATGATCAAAGTGAGTCCTTATAGAATTTCTGGCAAGGTGAAATTCCTGGGTACATTTCACAAAGTAGAATTTCCAACCACAGTGGGATTTCCAAGAATATGCCTAGAAGAAAACAAATGAATCTTCATTCTCTAAGAGCTCTTTTTCTTTGTTTAACCAACTGCTGAGAAATATAAGTGGGGGCCAGTGAAGAACAACTTGTACTCTGAATACAGGATAGTCATCGGTTTTTAGAGCTGGACAGGCTTTTAGAGATCATCTAACTCAAATCTGAGAAAGATGAGGAGACTCGCCCCAAAGTTTTGTATCTATCATACAGATGGCGGCTCCCTTCTCACCAGTTTCCCATTATATAAGTGGAAAAGGAGGACTGCATTCACTTTCTTAGGCTGAAGCTCTGTTCCTTACTCATATTTTCTCATTATGCCTTTTGGCATTTGTGCCACAACTGCAACTACATATGCTTCAGTTGATGGAAGAAGTGGGAGTAGGATTTGTAACATGAGCTATACCTAGATTATGTGGACGAGAATATTAAATAGAATGTACTCAGAGATATTTGTCCCCTTTCAAAGAAAATTAAGCAGAAGAATTCAGTTTCAGTTTTAAATCTCAACAGGTTTATTCTCTGAGAGCCAGTTTCTCTAGATTTCCGTGACATTTTCGGATGGAGCAGAGAAAGTCCCTATGGAATAGATTAGAGAGTGTTAATATGCTTAAGTAGAAAGAAAACCTCTATAGAAGAATTAGTGTACATGACTAAGGTTCTGTGAAGTCTGCTGATTGTACCAGCACCAGCTCACCAGTACATTCCAATGACCACTTCTTTCCTTGTAACTCCATTGGGTATGATTCAGATTGACCAAGATCATCTATCATTTTGTTGGACTTCTTCACAGCCCCTCTGCTTCCTAGCTGAGTTATTTATGTAACATTATTCCACATGGGAAAGCCCAGCTGTTAAAGTTTTAGAATCGGGAATAAGAACAGATTTTTATTAGATCTTTCATCTTGTCTACAGTGTGTTTTTCTTGGTTTAAATAATGATAACAGCATGCTAGCACCTCTGCCATAACTCACTCTCCTGTACGTGTCTTTGGAGGGGAGAATGCCCTTGTACTTCTGGGGTTCCAGAATGAGGCTTTTATAAAACTGAATCTGAAATCAATGTGTGGGATGGTATAGTCACCTGGTGAGTCTGAACTCATATGCCTGGGGTGGGCACTGCAGAGGTAAAAATGATAGAACTAAACTACAGATTGGCGGGAGCAAGGGAGGGATATGAGAGAGAGGAAAAAAAGGAGTTTAGGGGGTTAGAAAGTTTCTATCATAGAAGGAAAGTTGTACTGTTTACAAAAATAAGGAGACCCAGACAGAAGCAGATTTAGAAGGGATAAACAGTTTTGTTTGGCATGTTTTTGACTTGCTGGGAGGCGATCCAAGTGGGTCTTTAAGAGGATGTGAGGCCCCTGTAATGTGTCAGATTGGTTAGGCCGTCCTACATTTCCCAGAACTCCATTTCCTCTAAGTTTTGGTTAGAGTGGGCCACAGGAGAGTCTCGTGTGAAATTTGAGGGCAGAGGTGCAGCAACCACCGTTTTGTTAGCTCACACATGTTGTCCCAGGTGTGCTAAACTTTTTAGCATGAGGCAATGGCTGGGCCTATAACTATTCCACTTTCTCCTTCAGTTTTTCTCTAACCCTTGGCCAGATGTGTGTTTAGCTCCAAGGTGAAGGGCACTGGCTTCTTTCTGCAGGACGTCTCCAGCACCAAGATCAGAGCAATAATAACTGATGGGTTTCAGTCCATCCTGAAGCTTCTAGCCTTTCCTTCCCAATTACCTGCCCTGTGGATTTCAGTTCCAATACGAGATCCAAGGACAGCCTGATAGACACTATACCTGCTCCAATTTTGCAAGCAGGTATTGACTCATCCTTTGCATGAGTCTGCCAGTCTTCTCTATGGCTCAAAGCACTGCATAATTTGGCTCATTTTTCTATCCAACTTATACCATTCTTTGTCTCATTTAGTTCATGCTAGTTTCCTATCAACTTCTCCACTTGCTCCAGAGCAAGTCCCAAGCTCTTTCCCATCTCTGGGTCCTCAAGTATGCTGTTCTTCTGCCTCCTGGCTCATGCTCTTTTCGTCTGCAGGTCTTAGCCTAACCCATCAACTTTATGGACTGGCCATCTCAGACCACTCCATCTAAAATCATCCTTTGTTTGGTGTCTTCAAGGTCCTTACTAGAGGTTGTGTATGCCTATCTATTTTGGTTAGTTGGTCTTCATTAGAATCGAGGTTCTGTGACAGGAGGAGCTGTCTTGTTCCACATTGTATATGCTGATGCTGGCACTGTGTCTGGCACACAGCCAGTTCTCAAAGGATTCTTCTAGAAATAGAAAGGAAGATGTGGAGGAACCTACTTTGTGGGACAGCCATGTCAGAGGGACTAATTTTCCATTCCTTGGAGGCATAAAGATTATCCTGAATTCTACCCTTATTTCTGTTATTCATGGCAAGTCAAATAATTGCCTAGGGATTCAGGAACCATCTCAATAGTTTCCTATGTCCAATTTCTCTTAACAGATTCAATTACGCCTCTTTGAAAGGATGCCTGTGATGGTAATACTTAAAAATAAAAACAACTAGGATTGGAGTTGCCAGTAGTATGAATGCAGTTTTAAGTTATGGGTTTTAAATTCTGTTACTGTATGTTATTTTGGCTTTGATTCACTTAGAGCTCATAACAGTGACCCATTAATAGAGATCTGAATGAGGTTTAGATTACATACTCATAAAACTAACTTTTCTGAAAACTCATCTAACTTTATTACCCTATATTTTGTGTTCTACAGCTCTCTTAATTTCATACTGTAAACCTCTTAAACATATTTTATAAAAGTACTCTCATCACTTTCCAAGATTTAATAGAGGTTCCTCCATTTGTGAATAACATTAGCTAAAAAGCAAGCAAAGAATAAACAATACTTTTATTAAATAAAATCAAAAGGAAAATCCTATCTTGTTTTTCTAAGGCCCTAATGAAATGTTATTGAAAGAGTGTTCTATCTTCCTTTCAATCTCCAAGATCAAATCTTTTGGTGTTACCCTGAGTCTGCAGATCATTTTTCTTTAAAACTTCACTACTGCAAATATTCCTTCTTTGAGGCCAGCCTTCTTGAAATCCTTCATGCCTTAAATGTGTCCTTATTTCTTTTTAAGCAGTCTAATATCTTTGCACATTACTTTTCCAGCATTTAGCCTACACATACTATGTGATCAAAAGTGTTGAAGTGGCTCATAAATTAGACGGTTTTGGCAATTTGGGTACAAACCTTCAATTACTACACATTTGCTCCCAGGCTACTTCCCTTGCCAAATAAAGCTCAAACAGTAGTGGTGTCTGGGTATTTTGAAATTCCTAAGTGCTCTCATCCTCTACAAGGTGTGTGTGAAGTGACGTACCCTATTTCCAATATTTATGTTTCTCTCTTTTTTTTTCTCCCAGCAAATCTGTTATGGTTCAGGATATTAATGCAAACCCTCCGAATAGAAAACAGATTTTGCTTTCCTACTGTGTTAAACTAATGGTCTCAAGCAAAGCCATTTTGAATTCTTTTGATCTAAGTTAGAAATCAGAAACTTAGTAATTTTCCTCTATAGTCTCACATCAACTCGTAGTTACAATGGAGCAGTGAGGGAGGTTTATAATATACACTGAGGATACAACTAAGATACTGTTTTTCTATTCGTATATGAAGTACTTTTTGAATTCAAAACTCAACTAAAAATATAGTTGTTGCAATTCACTTGGTTAAGTCAATTATTTCCGGTAACAGGTCTAACGAAGGTTTGTCTGTGTTAACTGGGTGCTGGGAAGATAACAGTAGAACGACCACGCTACCCAAAGCAAGGTACACAGTACATATATTTTTTTTCATATTTCTCAATAAATGGTATAAATTGGCTAAATAATCTCACTCTGATGGTCACTGCTCACAGATTTTGATAGCTACTTGCCAGAAGGCTTGGGCATCTGAAGGCTCTCAGTTGAGGACAAGTTGAAAGTCACTGTCAATAATTAATTGTCACTTTCACTCAGAATCAGATTTCCACCATCTCTGGAGGGAATTCATGACTTCACATCTAAAGCTCATTAGACTCTTGAAGGCTCACTCAAAGAAACAGCAATATAATAGGTTGAACAGCTTTAAGATGCAAAACAATATAAAAATAAAACTTCCCCAAACCAACCTCGACCAGCCATGACTTAAAATGCAGGTAAAACAAATAGAAATATTTCTCTATTCCCATCTTACTCAAAACATGGCCATTTCAATACTCTAACCAACCCCTAAAAAACCTTTCACTCATCTGACAATAAGACAAAACTAGGAGGCTCTTGCAAGTTCATTTTGATTTTTATTACATACCACAGACATATGCACTAACCACAGAGTAGGATGATTTTTTGTACTCTCAAAACCACAGGAAATATCTTTCCACCTACCCTTTTTTTCTGATATTGGAGTGGCATTTCAGATTACCATTTTGGGACTGGTTGAGGGCAAAGTAAAAGAAACTGTGGAAGGCAATGTATAGATTACATAATCATGAAGCTATTTTTTGGAAGCTAGTAACTTGCTGATTGAGAATAACAGGGCTGTGCAATACTCACAATGCTGATATATTACACAAGTACTTATATTTTGTACATCTACTGTTACTGGATACCAAAGAAAGTAGAGGCGTCCCCAAGAATCTTCCGTTCTTGTTTTCAGTTTCCTATGATCCAGTACTTCTCAAAGGCTTTGAAAGGAGCACATGTCCTTGTTTATTAGAAATCTTTTCTGTGCACCCAGGAAATGTAGAAATTGCAACCACTTTCGCTTCTTATGCACATGTGTGCTTTAACAATCCTGACTACTTTTGGCATTGATAGAGTATGAGCTACTCAGAGTTCCTGAAAATATTTGACCTGACTGGTAAGTTACCTTGGCTTGCCTCTGGAGAGGACAGTAATGTATTATTCTTGGTCCAAAATAAGGTTGGCATGGATATATTTAACCTTGTTTATACATACACCAAGGGAGAATTTTATTTTTATTCTTGAATTTTTTTGTCAGGCAGGAGGAAACATATTGAACTTCAATTCTGAGGTAGATAATAGACAGCAATGAGAAAAATACAAGACCCTCTAGGATCTAACCTCTCTCCACATTTCTAGGCTTATATCGTAGTGTAGTTGACCCTTGAACAATGGGGGTTAGGGGCGCTGACCGTCTGCGCAGTCCACACTCCAGGGATATCCTACAGTCAGCCATCCATAAGCGAGGTTCCGTAGCCACAGATTCGACCAACTTGGGATCGTGCAGTACTGTAGCATTTACCACTGAAAAAAACCCAACCTATAAGTGGAGCTGCACAGTTCAAACCTGTGTTGTTCAAGGCTCAGGGGTACTCCCCAAGTGGCTGGCACGACAAGCTAGGTACTGATGGTCCATAATATACCCCTGGTGCTTTTGCATATTGCTCTTAAATTCAGCTTAAGCCTTGCTTCTCTGGAAGGAAGTTCATATCCCTGACTGAGCTGTCACCTTTTTATTTTCTTCTAGAATCCTGGTGTTATTTCAATAATAAATGCTATCACACTGCACTTCATATAAAATAACCTAATTTCTCTCTCACCCACAATATTATGAACCACTAGAGGGAAGAAACTGTGTACTTGTGTTCAGTGATAATAGATTGAATGCACTCTCTTAATGCCTCTTTAAAATGCTGAAATATAAACATTCTATTTATAAGTGGTAGGTCTTTTTCACAAAACCAGGCAGAGATCTGTTCATTTTTGACTTTGTGAACTTGAAGAAGTTACTTCACTGAAATCTCAATTTTGTCCTAGGTTAGAACTAGACTGATCTGCATTTTACTAAGATGATGGTGTCTGTTACAAGTTACATATTACTACTTTTCCCAGCATAGGACTGTTTTGAATCTGACAATGTAAGAACATTCAGGATAGTAGTGTCTGGCACAGCAGCATAGGCATTAACAAAATACTGGACTTGAATCTAAACTTTTTTAAGCCACAGAGGGAATTCAGCAGACTATGTCTTCTTTTGATTGAACATCTTTTAAGACTGCCTGGAAAGAAGGCATGCTCCTGCCACTGGCACAGCTGAGGCCGATCAGGAACTAAACATCAGCACAAAACAAATTCCAGGCAAGATGGAATCAAAAGATTTTGGAGCCAGGAAGGAGCTTAGGGAGGGTATTTGAATCTAGCAAGCTGTGGACTTTAGTGCCCATCATCCCATCTGGCCTTGCACCAAGACTGTGTGACAGAGGCAGTCCATCTGATGTTTAAATTGATCCTTAATCCTCTTCTGCATCTTACCACCTCGCCAAGACCACAAAAGGAATATCTGAATATTCTGTGGGCTTAAAACTACCTACGCCGCCCTTTGGGTTAGAGAATAGGATTTAGTGGTAATTCTTTGAAAAAAAAAATACATTAAAGAAAATGCTCATTGGGCTTCCCTGGTAGTGCAGTGGTTGAGAGTCCGCCTGCCGATGCAGGGGACATGGGTTCGTGAAATAAGAAATAAGCTGCTTCCTATTCTGTTCAGCATCTACACACAGTAAAATGTTTATATGTTGCCAAAAATTTTCCAAAAAATTATTTCTTCCTCTACTTTCCACCTGCCTCCTCTGAAATGCCAACTTAAAAGAAATGTCCTAGAACTGATTATCTAGAATAGTCCTCCCTTTTTCATATTAGACTTGTGTTAGTATATAAAAAATTAGTTGATATAGCTTTTGGAAAGTCTAGTTGGCAGCAGAGTTGGACAACAGATGGCCATTCAAGAAACTAGACCCAGAAAGGTGACTTACTCTGCATGTATATTCTGATAAGAGTCCTATTTTGGGGATACCCTGAAAATCCTTGACCTAATGCAAAGCCCAAGAGACAGTGCAGAGTAGGAACAATTATAACCTGATTAACCTGTTTAAGGCAAAATATACCATTTTAAACCAGCTATAGATAAGCCAGAAATGTACAATAAACAAATATACTGACAGCCAAACAGCAGCTTTTATCTTTTGCAAAAAAAAAAGCAGGCAATGTGTAACAAGATTTTCTTACGTTTCCTAGAATTCTAAGTACTTTAAAGTGGTCCTAAAAATAGGTAACTTTCAGTTCCATACTTTGTTTCTGCAGAAACAGCTACTGGCAGGCTCATTTAAAAATAAGTCTAAACAATTTTTTTTCTTAAAAAAAAAGTTTATTCTTTTTATCTTTATGGGGAATTAACAGCCGACAACAATATCTAATTAATACTATGTATAATGGGCAATTTTTAGTTAAGAAGTTTTCCTTCGCTTTGAAACTTTAACTGAATTTTGAAATGTTAACCATAAATGTGTAATAACTGCTCTACTACAAAATTTATGTCACATTTCCAGTGTTCCTCTTGCTCAATGAAAATTACTGAAGGTCCTCCTTTATCATCAAAGCTCAAAGACATTTATGCCATGGCATACGGTAAGTAGATGTGAAAACTGTTTATCATCATGTAGTAAGTTACACAAGATTCCAGTTCAAGTTTATAGGCAAAACATAAACTAGATTTAAAGTGCTGTATTAAAAAACAAAAACACAGTTTGCATTTTGGGGTAATTAAAATGTAGAGACCTAACACTAAAAAGAATGAAAAACGTGTGTAAGATTATCATTCCATTTAGCTCTTTTTTACTCTAAGCATGTAGCCTTATTCCAAAAACAACAGTTAGCTGGTCAAATTTATGCTTAAGACATTTATCCACACTTAACCAGAGGTTTCAGAGACGATAACACCAGTCAGGTATTCTGCATTCTTTTATGTTAAATAGGAACATTTTCTCAACAGCACTCTTAAGTCACTTCTCATTTATCTTCCTCCTTAAGAACTGCATAGGCTTGTTTTAAATAGTTTAAATACCTGTAATAAACTACAGTTTGCTAACAGTAGAGGTACTCTGGTTAATGCTCAAAATGATGTGGCCAGAGGAAAAGCAAGCATTATTAAATATGAATGCAGTCCTTACCAACACGAATTGAACCTTTTTTTTTTCCAATAAAAAAGCTAGTCCAAAAAGTCTCATTCTATAAAGAATTTATCGTTTCCAAATCACGGTGAAAGGAACTTAAGTAATTTACCAATTTTGTTTTCTCCTATGTGCCTTAAAGATACCTCACTAAAAACTGCTATCTGACATAATAGAATGACATATGCAGAATGTAATATTGTAGTGACAGTACTGAGGTTGATGTTACAGACATATTTAAGCTCTGAGTATTAAATGGTTACATCCTAATTATTTATATAGAACATTGGTCCAATAACAAAAATAGAGAACAGCAGCTGAAAATTTATCTCATTCAATGTTCAAAGATAAAAGGGTTAACCATTCTTTCCATTATTTTATGCAGATAAGTCCTTTTTTTCATATTTAAATCTGATTGCAACTGAATTCTGGCATTTTTCCAAGCTACTGTATGAAGAGGATGCTGAAGGCCATCACAATACAGCATACCGCAACATAAGGACTCTTCCGTTCACCTGTTGGAAAAAAGGTAGATATATTCACGTTGATTAACTGAGTAGTTAGCAGTAAGGTTATTACTTACTACAGGAGAGGGGCATATAAAAAACCAAGATAAAATTCTTGCCTATGAAGCCCATATATTTAGGGGCAGGGGTGGGCAAAACAAACTACATGCAACATAAAAGTGAGTATACTCCAGAATGAGCTAAACTATACTGATCTATTTCTAAGACCACCTCCTTTTCATGCCTTTAGAAAACCTTTCATGAGCCATTTCAGTGTCACTGCATAAACCCAGATATTAAAAAATATAACACAGAATGTAGGCTAAAGATCCAAATGAAATTATCTCAAAAACTCAATTAAAACCAAAGAAATATTGCTTGTTTTTTCCCTATAAAAAAGGGAAATTTCCACCTATAAAAAGAAATTCAACATACAGTTTCTAGCCATACTTTTTTTCTTCATTGATAGCAATTCATGACAATTATAAGGGGTAAAAAATAAGCATTCCTAGATGAAAATAAACAGGGTGTTCAATCAAACTGCATTTAAAAAATCAACATAACGTAGAATGCTTAATAAAAACATATCAGAGAAAACTAAACTATTTCTGAAATGGATTTCATATCAAATCTTTTACAGTATAATTACTCTGGGTTAGAGATGCAGAACTTAGAACAACCACTTCTGTATTAGTCAATTTTCACATGTGTTTAAGGAGTGTTTGTTTATACTTGGAGACTTTCCTTTGCATGAAGTAGATCTGGAGTTGGCTTGTGAAACTCCTATAAACAGAGATCCTGTAATTGTGAGCTAACTCAAACTCATCTTGTTCTTTCCTGTTTCTTCAGTAATTGCAAGGCTGCACAAAGCACCAGGCATTTTTATGCTGCCTTGAGGGCACATAAGAAAGGAAGAAGGAGAAAGAGTGATGTGCTACTTCTAGGAATAATCCTGGGTATGTACCTGGTTCCTTTACAGAGATGGTTTATACTCACCTCACCTGTGTTTTTCTGTGATGTTTAAAATAATCTTTTCTAGTAACTAAGTTCCATATTTCACTAGCAAGTTCAGTTAACTACTTCTGGAAAATGTCAATCTTGACCACTCTTATCAACTAAAACCTTGAAGGTCATCTTCATTTTCAGAGCTTCCTCACTGAGATCATAGTGATACAGTCAAAAAGTTTATATATTTGTTCAATGGCAATATTCACAGAAGACATTACACACATACAAATAAAATAAACATTTGGTGTTTTTCTGAAAGTTTTTTCTATCCGTAGACATTTGATGGACTGCATTCCAGCTAAAGGAAAATCTAGAAAGTGAGAAAATACAGTGTTTTTACAATATTAACTGGAAAAAAAAATCTTTTGAAACTAAAAAATACCGTGGTTCCTCATTTTTTAGCCATGCTGATTCTTTCAGGGTAAAAAACTCAAGTTATCCAACAAAACAATCAGACCAAAATTTCTGGTAGATCTCATAAGGAAGCCTGTCACTCACCACAGGGCTAGATACTCTCACTGTCTAATATAGTCTTCTTAAACACTAAAAGAAGAAACTAATATTGTCCTAAATTTTCCATCTGCTGGAAATTAATTTTTGAGGAAGTTCTTCTCTTCCTCATCCTCCAACTTAGAATGCTATAATTTACATATGGGTTTCATTTTCCCGTTTTTAATTTTCTTAAAAGAGACTGCCATGTGGTAGAGGCTAAACATCTTTGGTTGAACTTGGGTAAGAATGTTACTTCTTGTCTGGTCTTAGGTCTCTATAAGTGAATGTGAAACAGTTGCTGTAATGTGATGTGTAACATGATAAGATGATTTGGCTGGGCCTTTTCCCATTAAAACTGTTTCCTTTCTTTGTGGATATATTCTGTGTCAAGATAAGAGAGGAGCATGTGGTTGAGAAAGCAGCATATCACCATCAACATTTTCTAAACCACTTTGCCAAAATGAAAAGCTAATGCTTTCCACATAATTGGCAAAAATGAATAATTGAACCATTTAACCTATGGTATTCATATAGTCAAGACAGGAAAATGGAAATACATGGGCAAGCAAAAAAAGGCACAGTTTATAATTAGACATAAAAATAGGTAGTACTATAGGATAACATGAAGAAAGCTATAAACTAGATGTCTGAAAACTTTAGCTATACTTTCAAGTAAAAATTGTGAACAAAAGGATCACCTGGATTGGCTACTAAATGGAGTTGTACATCATTTTCTAATTTATTACACAAAAGATGGATTTAAAATACCTTAATATTTTATTCATGAGCTAGCAACTTTAATGTTAGTATGACTCTAATCCAGTGATATTCTCTACTTCCTCAAACTGTCTTGCTCTTCCATATGTTCTCTCTCTTTTTTTATTGAATAGTTGACTCAATGTTTCAGGTGTTCAGCAAAGCGATTCAGATAGATACACACACACATATATTTATACATATACTCTTTTTCCAGATTCTTTTCCATTACAGGTTATTACAAGATATTGAATATAGGTCCCTGTGCTATATAGTAGGTCCCTGCTATTTATCTATTTTATATATAGTAGTACATATCTGTTAATCCCAATTTCCTAATTTATCCCCTTCCCTTGCCCCTGCCTTTCCCCTTTGGTAACCATAAGTTTGCTTTCAATATCTATGAGTCTATTTGTTTTGTAAATAAATTCATTTGTATCATTTTTTTTAGATTCCACATATAAGTGAGATCATATGATATTTGTCTTTCTCTGCCTTAATCTCTAGATCCATCCATGTTGCTGCAAATGGCATTATTTTACTCTTTTTTATGGTTGAGTGATATTCTACGACTGCAATGAACATTGGGGTGCATATATCGTTTCGAATTATGGTTTTCTCTGGATATATGCCCAGGAGTGTGATTGCTGAATCATATGGTAACTCTATTTTTAGTTTTTTAAGGGTTCTCCATAGTGGCTGCACCAATTTACATTCTCAACAACAGTGTAGGAGGGTTCCCTTTTCTCCACACCCTCTCCAACATTTATTATTTGCAGACTTTTTGACGTTGGCCATTCTGACCAGAGTGAGGTGATACCTCATTGTAGTTCTGATTAGCATTTCTCTAATAATTAGCGATGTTGCGCTTCTTTTCATGTGCCTGTTGGCCATCTGTATGTCTTCTTTGAAGAAATGTCTATTTAGAGCTTCTGCCCATTTTTTGATTGGGTTATCTCTTTGATATTGAGCTGTACAAACTGTTTGTATATTTTGGACATTAATTCCCTGTTGGTCACATCATTTGCAAATATTTTCTCCCATTCCATAGACTGTCTTTTTGTTTTGTTTATGGTTTCCTTTGCTGTGCAAAAGCATGTAAGTGTGATTAGGTCCCATTTGTTTATTTTTGTTTTTGTTTCCATTACTCTAGGAGTCGGATCCAAAAAAATATTGCTGCGATTTATGTCAAAGAGTGTTCCGCCTATGTTTTCCTCTAGGGGTTTCACAGTATCCAGTCTTAAAATGGATTAAACACCTAGATGTGAGTTTATTTTTGTATGGTGTTAGAGAATCTTCTAATTTCATTCTTTTACATATAGCTGTCCAGTTTCCCCAGCACCACTTACTGAAGAGACTGTCTTTTCTCCATTGTATATTCTTGCCTCCACTGTCCTAGATTAATTGACCATAAGTGCGTGGGGTTTATTTCTGGGCTTTCTATCCTGTCCCACTGATCTATGTCTGTTTTTGTGCCGGTACCATACTGTTTTTGACCATACCCTTGTAATAGTCTGAAGTCAGAGGGCAAGATTCCTCCAGCTGTTCTTCCTTCTCAAGATTATTCTGGCTAATCGGAATTTTTGTGTTTCTATACAAATTTTTAAATTATCTGTTCTAGTTCTGTGAAAAACACCATTGGTAATTTGATAGGGAATGCAGCTGAATCTGTAGATTTCCTTGGATACTATGGTCATTTTAACAATATTGATTCTTCTAATCCAAGAACACAGTGTATCTTTCCATCCGTTTGTGTTATCTTCAATTTCTTTCATCAGTGTCTTCTAGTTTTCGGAGTACAGGTCTCTAACCTCCTTAGCTTTATTGCTAGGTATTCGATTCTTTTTGATGAGATGATAAATGGGGAAACTATTAGAGCTCATCAATGAATTTGGTAAAGTCGCAGGATACAAAATTAATATACAGAAATCTGTTGCATTTCTATACACTAACAAACAATGAAATATCAGAAAGTGAAATTATGGAGACAATCCCATTATGTTCTCTCTTTGTAGTTTATGTGAGGTATTCTTACCAGCCTGTTCCTTAGCGAGATTACCTTTTTCCTTGAGTGACCTGGATCTTGAAGCAAGGAGTTTGGTGTATATATATTTACATTTACCATTAGCTATCAGCATTAGCCCTTGAGGGTGCTTTTTTGTCTCTTTCTCTTCCTCTTCTTGGTTACTTTTGAAGGGCTTAAGATTTCTTCTGTTGTTTCAGGGTTTGCGTTGGGACTCTGCAAATGTGATCTAAAAGCATCAGAAAATACCATCTCTTGGGGAGACTGGCCAAGATGGTGGAGTAGAAACACCCTGAGCTCACCTCCTCTCACAAGCACACCAAAATCACAACTATTTGCAGAACAACCATCGATGAAAAAGACTGGAACCTACCAGAAAAGATCTTCTACAACCAAAGACACAAAGAAAGAACCACAAGGAGACAGGTAGGTGGGGAAGACTAGCTGTATAGTCAAGTCCCATACCACTGGGTGGACAACCCACAAACTGGAGAATAATTACGTTGTAGAGATTCTCTCAAAGGAGTGAAAGGTCTGACCTGAACATAAGGCTCTCCAGCCTGGAGGTCCTGCACTGGGAAGACGAGCCCCCAGAGCACTGGCTTTGAAGGCCAGTGGGCCTTAATTTCAGGAGTCCCATAGGACTTCGGGGAGAGAGACTTCACTCTTAAAGGGCACCCACAAAGTTTCACACATTCCAGGACTCAGGGCAAAAGCAGTAATTTGATAGGAGCCTGGGTCAGACCTACTTGCTGGTCTTGGAGAATCTCCCGGAGGAACAGGAGGCAACTGCAACACACCCTGGGGACATAGACACTGGTGGCAGCCATTCATAGAGCTACTTCTACCATGGGGACACTGGTGCTAGCAGGCGCCATTGTGGAATCTTCCCTCTAGCTTATTAGTGCTAGGACCCAACCGTGCCCTGGCCCAACAGTCTATAGGTGCCAGTACTGGGACACCTCAGGCCAAGCAACTCACTCAGTGGGGACAGAGCCCCACCCATCAGCAGACAGGCTGCCTTAAGACCCCCTGAGCCCACAGCTGCCTCTGGACATGGCCCTGTCCAGCAGGGTCCCAGCACCCAGTTCCCCAACCAGTGGGCAGGCACCAGCCCCAGAAACTCCTGGAGCCCAGCCCTGCCCTCAAGGAAGCCTGTTCTAGCCTCTGGACCAGCCTCACCCATCAGGTGGCAGACACCAAATGCAAGAAAACCACAATCCTGCAATCTGCAGACCCAGCCTGCCCACACCTCCCAGTAGGCCAGACCCTGCCCTGGGACCAGTTGGGACATGGTCCTGCCCACTAGCAGGCCAACACAAGTTTCAGGACACCCTGGACTCCATACAAAACTGTGTCAGGAACTGCTCCCCACCCCTCTCAGTGGTGCTGAGAAAACAGCTACAAAGAATGAAAACAGCTAAAAGAATGAAGTCAGAATAGTTTCTCATACCACATATAAAAATAATCTCAAAATGGACTGAAGACCTAAATGTAGGACCGGAAACCATAAAACTCCCAGAAGAAAACATAAATGGAACACTCTTTGACATTAAATCATATTTTTTTTGATCTGTCTCCTAAAGCAAAGGAAACAAAAGCAAAAATAAACAAATCAGACCTAATTAAACATAAAAGCTTTCGCACAGCAAAGGAAGCCATCAGCAAAACAAAAAGACAACCTACACAATGGGAGAAAATATTTGCTAATGATATGACTGATAAGGGATTAATATACAAAATCTATAAACAGCTCATACAACTCAACATCAAAAAAACAAACAACCCAATTAAAACTGGGCAGAAGACCTAAATAGAAATTTTTTCAAAGAAGATATAGAGATGACCAACAGGCAGATGAAAAGATGCTCAACACTACTAATCATCAGAGAAATGCAAAAATGAGATGTTATCTCACACCTGTCAGAACACCTGTCATCAGAAAGAACACAACAAATGTTGCTGAGGATGTGGATGGTGGTGGGAATGTAAATTGGTGCAGCCACTGTGGGAAACAGGATGGAGGTTTCTCCAAACAGTAAAAATAGAGCTACCATATGACCCAGAAATCCCACTCCTGGGTACATATCCGACTAAAACAAAAACATTATTTTGAAAAGATACATGCACCGTAATGTTCAAAGTAGTATTACTTAGTATTACTTACAATTGCCATGATATGGAAGCAACCTAAGTGTCCATCAACAGGTGAATCGATAAAGATGTGGCATACACTCACTCACTCTCATTCTCTCTCTCTGGAATACTACTCAGCCATAAAAAAGAATGAAATTTTGCCATTTGCAACCACATGGATAGACTTGAAGGTTTTTATGCTAAGTGAAATAAGTCAGTCAGAGAAAGACAAACACTGTATGATATCACTTATATGTAGAATCTAAAAAATAAAACCAAGTAGTGAATATAGGAAAAAGTAAACAGATTCACAGATCTAGAGAACAAACTAGTGGTTACCAGTGGTGAGAGGGAAGGGGGGAGGGGAAAGACAGGAGTAGGGGGTTCAGAAGTACAAACTGTAATGTATAAAATAAATAAGCCACAAGAATATATAGTACAACACAGGGAATATAGCCACTATTTTATAATAACTATAAATGGAATATAACCTTTAAAAATTATGAATCACTACGTTGTACACCTGTATCTTATGTAATATTCTACATCAACTATACTGCAATAAAAAAAGAATACTGGCAAATAAAATGCATTTTAATTCATTTACTTACCAATCATTTGAGAGTCTACTATGTGCTGGGCACTGTGTTAAATGTTATTGTATACGTAGTGTTATGGGACAATGTATAGTATATACTGTTATCTAACCATAAACACACTTAAGGTGCTACTAATCTTATTATGAAAAGTTAGAAGATATCCACATTTACACAAAGCTCAAGTATGACCACATACATGGATTCAAAAGATGAAATAGTTCATGTTTTCTAAAAGCAACCAATAAGATTCTATGACCTAGCAGAGGGCAATTAGATAGTTGCTCAGCAAGCCTTTCATTAAATGGAAAAATCATCCTCAGTTATCAAAATGGTACACATTATACAGAATTGCATGCTCTATACTAAAGTATGTGTGCATAAAACTATACACATTTGTCTGAAATCTCCCCAAAACCAGGAATGCATAGTATTTGATATCTGAATTAGAGAGACTTTTGTCATATTTTCCATCTCCCTGCTAATGAAGTATTATTAGCTATCTATGAAGTCTAGTTTTAAATAGTGTCAGGAAAAGCGTTAGGTGGAACTCTACAAACTACTGCAAAATGCACATAGTTGAGAAGGCTGCACTTTAAAAACTGACATTTGATTTGTTTGAACACAACAAGTAAATTGGCCAACAATTTACAGATGAAGAAGTGGAGAGAGATTATAGATAGCTACTCACCAATTCTGGCACACTTCCAAAATATACCCAACAACCTGCATAGAATAAAAAAAAGTATCTACTGTTTACTGGGAAAGGTGAATTATTCAGAACTATATGGAGAATTTATTATATACTAGTATTTTAACTGCTGATGCTTTGCTTTAAACTGAAATGTAGTTGATGTTGAGCCACCACTTATGGAGAAAAGTAGGACACAGTAATAGCTTATCAACCATCAATGTATAGAAACTGTCAGAAACTGAACATATGTTGTCTCACAGGTTAAGCCCAAAGTAAATTAATGTGACAGTGGCAAAAATTTGCACCAGGGCTTACTATTAGAAGATTGATTCCGTCAACTTCAAGTGCTTTACCTTCAAAAGCAGAAAATACATATGCCCATTTAAATAAATGTTAACTTTGAGAAAACAGTAAATGGGAACAGTTGGTTCTGGATAAATTTTTACATTAAAAAATAAAACTCTCATACTGAATAAACTTACTTCTTACTGAATATAGTTCTTTATTTAAATGATCTATAATCATGAACTCCAATGATAGCATTTACATAACTATAACATTAAATAAGGAGGAATACAAAAATATGAGCCTATATTTCAGTGTAATATATTCAATATATTTCAACATATATATTTCAATGTAAGTGGAAAACCCTAGTTTCATATAATTGTATATGCAATTAACTAAATATGCCATTTAAAACACATATACTCTGGAAATAAGAAAAATTAGACTAATATGTCCATTTCAATTCTATGAATGAATATATTATGAATACATATTATATGGATATATCACTTATTTTGCATGCATTAAAAAATACCAGCTCAAAAAAAAGGACAAGTCATTCAATGAATAGAGACATTTGGGAAAAAACACACATTGTAGACAACTATTTTGTTGGTGTGACGAATAGAATTATAAATAGTGTTACACATGGTTACAAATCAAGATAAATTAACATTACTTATTAGGATTGGGATAAGAAAATCATAATGTTTAAATTACAGGGAAATTTATAATTTTTTTTTTTTTGCCCAAAGAGATGGCTGGCAATGAATCACTGTATTTGAATGGTTAAGACTGAAAGAAAATGCTGATTCAATCAAGTTCTATACACTTCCCTCCTTTGAAGTATACAGTGAATTCCTGACATCAAAGCAAGAAGTCTCTTAGTACAGATTAAATGAAATGGGCAAAAATACAAGTTTATTGTGAGGGATGGGCATTCTGACAGGTGAAACAATTTTCTTCTTATAGGAATAAAAAGGACAAAAATCATAAGCACTCTTGAAAGCAAAGGATCAGGGCTAGATTGTGCCTAAGTTCAATCCTACTTAATTGGTTGCATAACTGTGGGCAAGTTATTTTACCTCTTTTCTCTTTATCTCATCCTCATAGGGTTGTTACAAGGATTAAATGAGTTATTACACAGAAAGTCTTTAGAATAGTGATTAACATGCGCTGTGTTCAGTATTACACAGGCTAAAGGTGTATGTGACATGACTCCAGCTATCACTTACATTGGCTTACATTTCATCAAAAAATGAAAGACAACTGGTTAGTGATCTGCAAAGCCCTGGATGCTTGATTCTAAAAGTCTATTGATTATAAAATGCATTATTGACTTAAAGCTCCTCTGGCTGAGGTACTCAGAGGCAGGACACCTGAAGTTCCTCTATGGAAAGCTTAGGGCCCCACAGAATAATCTGAAACCACATGACCATAGTCAAGGTCTTTTCAGGTCTTATAGTCTAGAAATAACTAAAAGCCTCATTAGGAAATTGGTATAACACACTTAGCATACTGAAAGCTATTTAAATGAAAAAAATTTCCCAACTTGGCAACTTAAGAGATTAATTGGTACTGCTTTGGCCTTTTTCACATATTTCCCTACCTAGACATTTCTGTAATATCCCAAATGCTAAAAGGAACTTTATTAGCTGGTAAAAACCAATGCAGATATGCTGCTTAGTTTCTAAGGATATAAGCCAATAAGACTATCTGCTGATAAAACTATTAAGTCTATGAAAATATGAAGCAAGACAAAGTAGCAATCTTTCTTTTTGCTGCTTTTTAGTTCTATATTATTTGAAGCAGCAAAAAATTAATTTGTTATTTTCAACAGTGAAGTTATCAAGAACTCATTTTATCTAATTGGTCCAGATTATCTTCACTTTAGCATGGAATACTCACTATAATGAAAGGAAAGCTTTTTTTTTTTTTTTTTTTTAGCGGTACGCAGGCCTCTCACTGTTGTGGCCTCTCCTGCTGCGGAGCACAGGCTCCAGATGTGCAGGCCCAGCGGCCATGGCTCACGGGCCCAGCCGCTCCGTGGCATGTGGGATCCTCCCAGACCGGGGCATGAACCCGTGTCCCCTGCATCGGCAGGTGGACTCTCAATCACTGTGCCACCAGGGAAGCCTGGAAAGCTTATTTTGAGTCTCATAAAAATACGTATTACAACAGAACAATGACCAGTAAAAATTTCTTCTACAGAAAATACTTCATATGTACAAGTCAAAATAAAAGGGGCTTAACATTTATATAAATAGAAGCAAAGTTTTTAAAAAAAGCTTTGAAACAGTTGACTATATCATTATATATTTTAAAATGTGAAAATAGGCGTGTTATTTCTTTGGTTTTTATGTAGGAGAAATATACTACTACTCAACCTCTACTGTAAGGTTGGCAGCCCTGAGAACTCCTTTTTTAATGTAGCATGTTATGGATGTGTTCCTGCTTCCAAAGGAATGAGGAGCAGACATTTCCACATGCAATCTACTTTTTTTGTCGTAGCATCAGAAAAGTACAAATACACTGTTCTGCCACTATGAGATTATTCTTCAATGACATAAACACTTAAATTTCTTATTAGACATTATGTATTACATTAGAAATCTAAACTAATGATCAATGATACTGTTTACTGGATTCTACCATATGCTTTAATTATAAGTTAATCGTTGGGGGTTGCAGAAGAAGGGTAGGAGGAAATAAAACTGGCTGGCTAGAAAGGCTTCAGGCACAACTAAGCAACAAATAAGATTATATAATTTCAACAAAGGGACAAAGTATTGAGTGCTGAGTTCAGAGAAAAAGGTGGACTGAGAAGATAATGTCTACAAAGGAAGTGAGGCATTGTCAGAAAAACTGATGGACAAATAACATCTATTTTCACCTTCAGTAGGTTAAATAAAATCCCTCATGCCAATAGAGACAGACAATCAGTTTATTGGAACAGGATTATAGATTTTCATTATTCAAAACTGGTTAGGGGTTCTATTTATATCTTTATAGATGTTCAAACAAACCTATGTAATAAAAAGAAAGGAATAGTAACAAAAGCCAAATGATTTAGATAATAGGATGTTTGAATAAATGTTAATTATGACCCCAAAGATATAATGGAGTTGAAGAAAAGAGAATTATTTCCTCTCATGCTTGAGTATCTACTACCTGGCCTCTTGTAGGGGCTTTTTATTAGTGGAAAAGCAGAGTTTGACCTTGCAGGATCTTAATTTGGCCCTTTTCCTTTCATCAAAAACAAAAAAGGTGCTGGAGATAATTAATTATTCCTATGTGAAATATTCTACTATTTCATCCTATTATTTCTTAAGATGATTAAGTGAGGTACAGGATCTTACCACAAAAGAATTAAAGAAAATTGTGAATTCAAGAAATTAATAAATCTGTAAGGCGAAGAAAGTCTGCATAGTTTTCACCACATGGTCTCTGTTTTTTTACATACTTGTCCTGGTTGAACTCAATATGTATTTCTGTATTAGGAACATGGCACTTAAAAATTTTAAGTCTTTGTGGTATCATATTAAGCTTAAATGTTTTTTGGGTGTGAACATATAATTAAAAGTGATGTGACATGCCCAAGACTGAATTTTCATTACTTTTTTAAGTAAGCTAAATAAATTTCTCCAAAGATGTTTGCTTTATGATACAGATGAGGAGCCTGTATGATTAGACCAGTCTGGGAATGAAGAGGCAATGTCTATATTATTATTTTTATGGACACAGTGCTTATAAGATGTTTAATGCTTTCAAAATATGATAACCAATTTTACTAATATTCTATTAAATACTAAGGCCAAACACTGTCTTTGAAAGTACTAAATTGTAGCTTCAATCTCAGAAAAAAATCTATCACATCTTTTAAAATACACTTTTTTTTTCAGTCCAACACATTTCAGGTCACTTCTGATATTTATATTTTTATTTAGTAAGCTTCTGTGAATATAAAGATTTGGATTTTTAAAAATAGGGAAAAAATAATGTAAACAGTTATTATAAACTAAATTACATATAGGAATTAAATTATTTAATGACTTTCAGTAACTGACATTCAATATCTCTAAGAACTAATTTGGGTGATTAGACATTATTAGTGACATACCCAGTTTTATTCCTGTCCAGGAGGCTGGGTGCCAAGGATCGGATATAAGCACAGGTACATATAAGCAGCAAGATTACAGTCAACAGACTCTGAAAATTGAAAATGGCAGACTAAAAAGAGAAAAAGAAAAATTAATGTCAGAAGATAAACTGCACAGGTAAAAAATGTCAAATTCATATTAAGAATCATACTTTTTTCTTCAAAAAGGCAAACAGATGTGTCTGAGAACACTTTAAAAGCAAAATCACAAGGTATTTTGAGAGCATACTTTCCTCTCCATTCTTTGGGCTAAGGAATTCAGAAGATGCAACAAAAATTCTAAATTCAAGAACTTAAAAACACTACCAAAAATGTCATGAATCCAAAACAGCTCACCAAAGCTTAACCAGTAATTAATAGAGATATTCTAGGATCCCAGACTACTAGGCAGGACATGGGGTCTCCAAGCTCTGCAAGTAAGCTGGTTATATGACCTCAGCTGAATATTGGCTTCTCTAAATCTCTGTTTCACATCAGTAAAACTGGGTGGAGAATGGGGAGACAGACTCAATGCTGGCTCACGTTTCTTTCAATTCTGAAATTCTTTTAGAATAAGAATGCTTTAAATTTAAGTAATCATGTTCCATTTATTGACTAATACTACTAGCCTATTAGATTTTGGTGAAAGAAAAGCACTTGCTCATTCACTGCTGATTTTTTAAAAGTCATTAAAATAAAATTTAACACAGGATTCTGTTCCTGAAGAAAACTCTTACATGTTTATCACAATACTCATCCCTGAAGAGTGGACATTGTCTATCAACTCTGAATCTCCAGCACCTATGTGCCAGCCGCACAGTGGGAGCCCAATAAGAGATGATTGAATAAAAGAAAACAATTTTTAAAAAGTGCAGGAATACTACTGTACGTATAAGAAAGAATAACATTTCCATTATATACAGGTAGCTAAAATATATCAATCTAACACAGTAGCCAGCAATATGCTTATTTAGTAAATTCAGAAGTACTTCCCGAGGGGGATCACGATGGCAGAGTAGGAGGATGTGAAGCTCACCTCCCCCAACAAACACATCGAAAATACATCTACATGTGGAACAATTCTCACAGAAAACCAATAGGAAATGGGCAGAAGATCTCCTATATAACCAAAGCTGCACGAAAGACCTCCATGTAAGTAGGTAGGACAGGAAAAGAAAAAAAAAGGCATCAGGATGGGACCTGAGCCTCTGGGGGGGATGTGTAAAGGAGAAAAGGTCCACACAGGCAGGCTTAGGGAGCCCTCTTGCCTGCTGGGACAGACAGAGGGGCTAGAGAAGCCTGGACTTTACTTGAGAGGAGTGTGCGCAGACTGGCTTGCTAACAGTCACAGTGAAGGGAGACTGGTGCTGGCACCTGTACCTCACCACACTTCCCAATCAAAGTGTGAATCTGGTGGGGCTACAAATACCTACAGCAGCTAAGCAGTGAATCGTGGCAGACAAACCCTAGGGAAAGACTCCATTTAGCTGCAAGGAGCTAGTCCCGAGGGTCTGGGGTGTGGTCCAGGTCTAACAACAGAGGCACTGTTCCAATGTCAGCACTCCTAAGGTGGGGGTGGGTCTGGGCTTTGTCAGCAGCACCTGGTGGAGCAGAGAAAGGCATGTATCTGGTACAAAGCCTCTAGGGAGGAGTACTCAGTGCTCCAGTTCTGCCCACCCCACACCTCTGCTTGGAGTTGGATCTGGGGTGGACAGGTCCTGGGAGAGGCCTGCCAGAGGCAGTCAAGGTCCCAGGCAGCAGCCCAACCATCTCGATTCATGCAGCCACAGCACCCTGGCCCCCAGCGCCAGCCTACTCCATATCACTGCCTAGCACTACATCTAGGACGAACACAATGGAAAAAGGGAAGCAACTTTGGACTGCATGGGAGGCATATAGGTTCACCGTGATCACATGAGCCTCACCTGCTTCAGCGGTCACCTCCTTTGGGACAGGGCACGCACTCAAGGGCAATGGAGCCTCAGCAAATCCAACCCTCAGGGCTTCTACTCCAACAACTGGGGAGGAGGCCCTGACTCCAACAGGCCATGGAGCAATGAGGGGGTTCTGCCTAACACCCAGTGCAGGCCCTGGACACCAAAACACCAGTCACATCCCCATCAAGGGGATAACAGCCAGCAGACTCTGGGGAGAAGAGGTGGCTGGCATTCATACCAAAACCAGCCCTCACACCAAAAATACTGGACTCACACAGAGTACACATGATGCTCCCACGTTGAAAACACCCCCTCAAGACCACAGTAGAAAACGTTTCTCCTAAACTCAGACAGAAGTAGTTAAGCAAAATGAAAAAGGAGAGGAGCTACTCCCAATTAAAAGAATGACAGACATCCCCTAAAAGAAATGAAGCAGACCTCACCAGTCTCCTAGACCCTGAGTTCAAAAAGAAGATAAGGAAAATGCTAAAGGAATTAAGATTATCAATAGAAATGCAGATCACTGTAACAAGGAACTAGAAACTACTAAGATGAAGCAATCAAAATTAGACAACTCAAGTGCTGAGATAACAACCAATCTAGAGCAATCAACAGCAAACTAAATAACACTTAAGAACAAATAAGTGATCTGGAGAACAGAACGATGGAAATCAATCAGAACAGCTAAAGAAAAACAAAATTAAAAAATGAAAACAACTTACAAGATTTCTGGTATAACATTAACCATACCAATGTTCACATTCCAGTGGTCTCAGAAGAAGAGAGGTAAAAGGGGATTGAAAATTTATTTGAGGAAATTAGGGCTAAAAATTTCCCAAGCCAAAAGAAAGAAATAGATATCCTGGTACAGGAAGCACAGAAGGTCCCCCAAAAGATGAACCCAAACAGACCTATCCCAAGACATATCATAATTAAAATGGCAAAAGTTAAAAACAAAGAGAGAACTCTAAAGGCAGCAAGAGAAAAACAAAGAGCTATATACAAGGGAATCCCTATCAGGCTATCAGCTGGATGAATTCTCTGCAGAAAATTGCAAACCAGAAGGAAGCGGCATGATATACTCAAAGTCCTGAAAGGGAAAAACCTGCAACATACTTTACCCAGCAAGAATATCATTTAGAATAGAAGGAGAGATAAAGAATTTCTCAGACAAGTAAAAACTAAAAGAATACAGCAATACTAAACCTACCCTAAGGTCTCCTCAAAAGAGAAAAGGAGCAAGAATTTATACGAAAGTGAAAATTACAATAGGAAAGGCAAATATATAAAAGGATTGAAGATCATTTAAATAAGACATTACATTGATTAAAAACAAGAAGGGACTTCCCTGGTGGCAAAGTGGTTAAGAATCCACCTGCCAACGCAGGGGACACAGGTTTAATCCCTGATCCAGGAAGATCCTACATGCGGAGCAACTAAGTCTGTGTGCCATAACTACTCAGCCTGTGCTCTAGAGCCCACGAGGCACAACTACTGAGCCTGCATGCTACAACTACCAAAGCCCACGCACCTAGAGCCTGTGCTCCGTAACAAGAGAATCCACCGCAATGAGAAGCCCATACACCGCAACAAAGAGTAGCCCCTGCTCACTGCAACTAGAGAAAGCCCATGTGCGGCAATGAAGATGCGATGCAGCAAAGACAAAAACAAAAACAACAACAACAAAAATTGTAAAAGCAAGTAGAGATAGTTATGGTCAACATACTTGAAAACCCAGTTAACCACAAAATAAAAAACATACGATAGATTCAAAAAGAAAGGAACTCAAGCATAATACGAAAGAAAACCATCAAACCACAAAAGGAAAAAGAAGAAGAAACTAACAAAGTACAAAATTAACTGGCAATAAGCACATACCCATCAATAACTACTTTAAATGTCAATAGACTAAATGACCTGATCAAAAGACACAGAGTGGCAGATTAGATAAAAAATAAGAACCTATAATATGCTACCTACAAGAGACTCACTTCAGGGCTAAGGTGACACATAGACTGAAAGTGAGGAGATGGAAAAAAATATTTCAGGCAAATGGAAATGACAGTAAAGTGGTGGTAGCAATAATCATATCAGACAAAGTAGACTTAAAGTCCATAAAGAAAAAGAAGGACATTAGACAATGATAAAGGGATCAATACAATTAGAGGATATTACACTCATTAACACATATGCACCCGGTATAAGCACCTAAACATATATCAATAGAATACTAACAGACATAGAGGGAGAAACTGGCAGAAATACAATAATAGTAGGAGACTTTAATATCCCACTGACATCAATGGACAGATCTTCCAGACAGAAAATCAGTAAGAAAACAGATGTCCTAAATGACACAATAGACCAGTTGGACTTAATTGACATCTACAAGACACTACATCCCAGAAAACCAGAATACACATTTTTTTTCAAGCGTACATGGAACATTCTCTAGGATAGACCACATACTGGGTCACAAAACAAGCCTCAACAAATTTAAGAGCATAGTAATTATTTTAAGTATCTTTTCTGACCACAATGGTATGAAACTAGACATCAACCACAGGAAGAAAAATGGGAAAAGAACAAACATATGGAGACTAAACAACATGCTACTAAAAAAACCAATGGGTAAAGGATGAAATAAAAGAAAAAAAATCAGAAAATACCTTGAGACAAATGACAATAAAAACATAACCTTACACAATCTATGGGATGCAGCAAAAGTGGTTCTAAGAAGAAGTTCATAGCAGTACAGGTCTTCCTCAAGAAACAAGAAAAATCTCAAATAAACAACCTAACCTACTACCTAAAGGAATTAGAAAAGAACAAACAAAACCCAAAGTGAGCAGAAGGAAGGAAATAAAGATGAGAGAAGAAATAAAGATTAAAAAAACCCCAAACTAACAGAAAAGATCAGTAAAACAAAGAGCTGGTTTTCTGAAAAGATAAACAAAATCTACAAACTCTAGCCAGGCTCACCAAGAAGAAAAGAGTGGGCCCAAATAAACAAAATAAGAAATGAAAAAAGAGAAATAACAATTGAATACCACAGAAATATAAAATATAAAAAATCATAAGAGAATACTATGAACAATTATATGCCAAGAAATTGGACAACCCAGAAGAAATGGACTAGTTTCTAGAAACACACA